TGGGGTGGGTGGGGGTTCAACATCCCCCTCCCCAAAATTTCAAGGGGCAAAAAAGAAGAATAAGAATTTTTGTGGGGTTTTTTTTTCATCTTTGTACAAGCAGAGGGTTTGCTCTCCCCGAATGGGAGGGGGAAAAAAAAAGGGGACCCCCCTCCCCAACCCCATCAATACTTTTTCCCCCCCATCTTCCCCCCCCCCACGGGTTTGGGGCTCACATGAAGAAGTCGGCGGCGGGTTTGGGGGCGGTGGATGGAGAAGGCTCCCTGGGGAACCCCCTCCCGGCCAACTTTTCGTATTTTTCTTTGTACAGATCCCTTTCCTTGGCCAAACGGGTCACCTCTTGCTTGAGTTGCTCCACTTGGCTTTGGAGTTGACACTTCTCGTTCTCCAAGATGTGCCGTTGCTGGACCCGCTTGTAACGGCAGGATTGAGCGTAGCCCCGGTTCTTCAAGGTCCTCCTCTTCTGCTTGAGACGGATGACCTCCTCCTTGCTGAAACCCCGCAGCTGCCGGTTGAGCTCCCGCACCGACATACTCACCAACTGATCGTCGGAGAAGCGGTCCTCCAAACGCAGGTGGTGATGATGATGATGGTGGTGACCGGGATGATGATGATGAGAAGCCGGCGGGAGCTCTTCGCCACCGAAAGCTTGAGGCCGGAAAGGCTCGTAACTTTGATGGTGATGATGATGATGGTGAGGGGCACCGATCAAAGCTTCCACCGCGTCCTCCGGCGTCAGGTTGAGAGCTTCGGGGTTGAGGTGATGCTGGTAACCCGACATCCAGTAAAGCTCCTCCAGCTGCGGTTTGGAGCCCAGAGAAGAAGCGGTGGTTGGAGGAGGACCAGCAGCCGGTTGCCCACCGGGACTGGGAGCGCAGAAACTGGGGGAGGAAGGCACGGAGGAGCAGGGGGTGCTGAGGGGGGTGGAAGAGAGGGAACCGGCGGGGAGCCGGTGGCACAACCTCTCCGCCTCCGCCGGTTCCTTCTTCACTTCGAACTTCATCAGGTCGAAATCGTTGACGTACTCGATGGCGAGGGGGCTGGTGGGCAGCTCCGCGCTCATGGCCAACTCCGAGGCCATCTCAGTCCATGGAGGGGACCGGGGGGTTGATTTCTCCCCCGGGGCACCGCCGGTCACCGGAGAGTTGGGGTGAGGATGGAGGAGGGGGGGGTCCCGAAGGCTTCGTGGGGCGGGGGAGCCTCCTCCCACCGGGTTCTGGGGTTGCTGCGGGGCAACCGGTTTGCCCCGACGGGGCTCCGTTCCCCGGGGGCGCCGCCCGGGCTCCGGGAGCCTCCGACGGGGCTTTGCTGGGGGGTTCAGCCCTCCCGGGGCACCGGGATGCGAGGTTCAGCCCGGGCTCCGGGAGCTTCCGACGGGGCTTCGCTGGGGGGGGGGTCAGCCCTCCCGGGCTCCGGGAGCCTCCGACGGGGCTTTGCTGGGGGGTTCAGCCCTCCCGGGCTCCGGGAGCCTCCGACGGGGCTTTGCTGGGGGGTTCAGCCCTCCCGGGCTCCGGGAGCCTCCGACGGGGCTTTGCTGGGGGGGTTCAGCCCTCCCGGGCACCGGGAGCCTCCGACGGGGGCTTCGCTGGGGGGGTTCAGCCCTCCCGGGGCACCGGGATGCGGGGTTCAGCCCGGGCACCGGGACCCTCCGACGGGGCTTCTCCTCCGGGATGCAGCCGAGCTCCTCTCCGGACTTCAACCGGGCTCCAGGAAGCTTCTACCGGGGTTTTGCTCCGGGATGAAGGGATTCAGCCGGGTTCCGGGACCCTCCGAGGGGGTTTTGTTGCGAGGTTCAACCCGGTTCCTCCGTAGGGATCAACCGGGCTCCGGGATTCTCCGCCGGGACTCCGGCTCCGAGATTGCGGGAGACACCTCCCTCCGTCGGGGTTTCGCTGCTTGGAGCTTCCTCCGGGGCTCTGTTCCGAGCTCCGGGACCTTGTTTCTCTCTCTCTCCCCCACCGGGGAAGCGGTGCCCCGATGGGTACGGGACCGGGTTGTCTTCTCCAGCACGACCAGGGCAAAGTCTTCTCCGCCGCCGCCGCCTGCGGTCGGTTCCCCAATGGCGAGGACCAGGCAGCGCCCTGCCCGCCCCTTCCTGCCTTCCCCTGGCACCTGCCCCGGCCCCACCTCCCCGAGCCTTCCCCTGCCCTCCTCCTCTTCCTCCTCCTCCCCCCCGGACACGGGCACTGTGCCCTGGGGGCGGGGGCCGGACACCCCCCCCCTTTCCTTGCCCGTTCCCCGCCTTCGCCCGGCGCTGCCGCCGCCGCCGCCGAAGAACTGAATGGAACCCGCCGCTTTATATACGGGGGAACGCGGCCCGGTCCCGCCTCTCGGGGGGAGGGAACAACCGCCCGACCACCTATCAGCGAGGGGATGGCCCGGCGCGATTTGCATATCCCCATGGTAACGCCCCCCGGGGTGGCTGTCAATCTCCGCGGGGCTCGGAGCTTGCCGGG